TTTTTTTTTTTTTTTTTTTTTTTTGATAGAGTCACCTCATGTTCCTTCTTCTATGTTCTTCTATGTTCTTCTGTGTTCTTGTTCGCACACTGCTGTAGTATATATTGCTGAACTGTGTGGCGCATAATAAAGATAACTTTCTTCTAAGTGTAATTGTCTTTCGCATGCTGGTAACTAATAATTTAAGAGACAACACTTACAAAAAAGGACGAAAAATTTGAATGGGGTCAACAATAACAGATAGCGTTCGATATATTAAAAGAAACATTAACCACTGCACCAGTATTGATATATTTAGATTTTGAGAAGGAATTCGTCATCACGATTGATGCATTCGACTATGCAATTGGAGCTATCTTATCGCAAGGCAAAATAGGAAGCGACAATCCGATAGCCCACATGAGCCGTGTATTATCACGTGCAGAACAAAATTATAACATTACTGAGAAAGAACTATTAGCAATACTTTGGATCGTAAAACATTTTAGTCATTACATCTATGGGACCAAATTTAAAATAATAACGGATCACAAACCGTTGGTCTGGTTATTTAACGTTACGGATCCCGGATCAAGACTAATTAGATGGAGATTAAAACTAGAGGAATACGATTACGAGATAATCCATAAAGCAGGAAAAATGAATGTAAATGCCGACGCATTAAGCAGGTATCCTACAATAGCGATATTACAAGCAAATGATACACATAAGGCAGACAAGGAGAACGAAACAGAAGAAGAAGAGGAAGAAAACGAAGAAGACGCAGACAGATAGGGTATACAAACTTATACCGAAGAAGGAAAAAGACAGATCCTATACGAGTATCATAACGCACTATTAGGAGGGCATCAGAGTATACAACGTACATTAAGCAGAATATGTTTAAACAATAACTGGAAAGGGATAACAAGAGATGTGACGAAATACATAAAAAAATGTGAGCTATGTCAGAAAATACAAGTTAAGTCTTCAGAAGAAAGCGCCAATGATTATCACGGATACACCTACTAAATCATTCGAGAAATGCGCATTGGACATAGTAGGACCTCTGACTATAACAAAAAATGGAAACAAATATTTTTTAATATTTCAGGACGCTTTGACCAAATTTAGTAAAGCTATTCCTATACCAAATCAAGAGGTAACCACCGTCGCGAAAATATTTACGGAAAAAATAATATTAGAATACGGGATACCAGGAAAAGTACTAACCGATCAAGGAACAAATTTTTTGAGTAAAATTTTCAAATCAATATGCAAATTATTGAAGATAGAAAAAATTCAAACTACGGCATACCATCCACAGAGCAACGGAGCACTAGAAAGATCACACCGAACACTCACTGAATACCTGCGACATTACATAAATAGTGGTTAAACAGACTGGGACGACTGGATCCCATACGCAATATTTACATACAATACGACTCTTCACTCTACAACTAATTATACTCCATTTGAACTGGTATATAGACACCAGGCAACACTATCATCATCCATACTAGTAGCTCCAAAAACTACATATAGTATTGAGGACTATGCACAGGAGATAAAACAACGGCTCCGAGCAACAAACCAATTAGCTCGGGAACACGTGAAAGAAGAGAAAATAAAAAGCAAAAAATATTATGACCGAAATACAAAAAAAGCTATACTCGACATAAGAGATCAAGTAGTTTCTACATGGAAGACAGTAGTCAGAATGGACATACAGGTGATAGACATTCGAAGTAACCAAATACAAAGGTACCTTAGCAGCACAGAAAAAATTTGTAGTCAACAAAAGGAACCAAACATCACATGGGAACTGTGTGATAACTCACGTAAATTTATACAAAAGGGCTTAGATCGTGTACACAATATATCGGAACAATTACACAACATATATAAGAACCCCAGAGATGTAAAACGAGGATTAACAGATGGAATAGGGTCTTTAACAAAATCATTATTTGGAATAATGGATGCAAACGATGAGGAAACGATAAATGAACAATTAAGTCTATTAGAAAATAAACAAGAAACGTTACAACATGCAGTAGCGAATTAACTAAAAATTATTAATACAATCATTAATCACCTAGACAATTTAGAACAAACACTGGATACAAATGAACAAATAATATGGAATAGTATTACACAACTTTATACAGAAGAAACTGGAATCATACTACGCCAACACATAGATGGACATTTTACCGTACTCGA